CCACTTGATAAATAGTCAAGGACTGCAAAGTCACTTTGATAACAGCATAAGGCAAATATGATTAGGAGGGTAACTCTGGGGCAATAATTTTTTTAAATGAGTTGCTAAATTGAGTAGAGATTATTTATAAACTTATCTATCATTTAGAATAGTGAGTCTGCATCTTGGTTCACCAAATCAATTTTAGGTGATAAATATTCTGCAATTCTTTTTCTACTATTCTGCAATGCAAACTAGCGATAATGTTACCTTCCTACGCACTAACTTTAAAAAAAATCACCTCTGTATGGAAGACAAAGGAAAGGAAAGTAATTTCTCATAAAAATAATATTTCAGCATATGAATGCTGGGGCATAACCACTGTGAATGCAGCTGCTACAAATGCACACTCACGTGCATGTGCCGTTCGGCGCTCGAAAACCATGAGTCTTGATCTGCTGCTGATGTGGCTTTCCCAAGTGACAACCAACTCCTGGTAAATTTCAAACAAAACAAATTACAACTGCCCCTTAATTTACCCAATTATTACATCCCTGAATAATGTAAAACCATGCAAACAAAAAATGTTTTGTTCAATGAAGATAGATTCAAGCTCAGAAATTACAAACACATTGTGTCTTATATGAATGTCCACTGGGACCTTTGGAATCAGGCTCAGACGGTAAAGCGTCTGTCTACAATGCAGCAGATCTGGGTTCGATCCCTGGGTTGGGAAGATTCCCTGGAGAAGGAAATGGCAACCCACTCCAGTACTCTTGCCTAGAAAATTCCATAGACTGAAGAGCCTGGTGTCCATGGGGTCACAAAGAGTCAGACACAACTGAGTGACTTCACTTTCACTTTCAAGAGGACAATGCATCATCCTGTGGGACAGTCCCACACACTACAAAATGTCTAACAGCCCAGGCTTTTGCCCATTTAATGCCAGGAGGGCCCACAATAATCATGTGAACCATAGACACCCTCACAGAATACCAAAACTCCCCCTAGGAGGCAGTACAATCTTGCAAGACTACTGGCTTGCAGTATTTCCTACAGGGCTTCCCCCATTAACACAAATGATTAAGAGTTGATTCTAGGTGTAAAACCAAAGAACGACAGCACTAGAAGGGAGCATGAAGCTCCTCTAACTGGCCCTCTAGTTTTACCCATGTGAGATATGTAACTTGCCTTTGAAAACTCAGTGACCACCTAATCTAGGATAAAAAAAAATTTTTTAATGGTATCCTTTTCCATGGTTTTTATTTCTTATGGAAATTAGAAAGACACACTTGAATGTGTCTCTTACACATGAGATGGTTGGGGGAGGGGGTAGTAGAATGATTGACAACATTTTCCAGGTTTTTTTTCCAGGATACTGGAGTTGAAATCATTCACTCCTCATCACTGAGTTTCCCTGGATACATTCTATATACAATGTGTGCTCAGTCATGTCTGACTATGCGACCCTATGGACTGTAGCCCACCAGGCTCTTCTGTCCATGGAATTCCCCAGGCAAGAATATTAGAGTGGGTTTCCATGCCCTCCTCCAGGGGATCTTCCTGACCCAGGGATAGAATCCACGTCTCTTACATTGGCAGGTGGGTTCTTTACCACTGAGCCACGAGTGAAGCCCTTCAGTCAATTCAGTTCAGTTCAGTCACTCAGTCATGTCCGACTCTGCAACCCCATGAACTGCAGCACACTAGGCCTCCCTGTCCATCACCAGCTCCCAGAGTTTACTCAGACTCATGTCCATCGAGTCAGTGATGCCATCCAGCCATCTCATCCTCTGTCATCCCCTTCTCGTCCTACCCCCAATCCCTCCCAGCATCAGGGTCTTTTCCAATGAGTCAACTCGTCGCATGAGGTGGCCAAAGTACTGGAGTTTCAGCTTCAGCATCAGTCGTTCCAATGAACACCCAGGACTGATCTCCTTTAGGATGGACTGGTTGGATCTTCTTGCAGTCCAAGGGACTCTCAAGAGTCTTCTCCAACACCACAGTTCAAAAGCATCAATTCTTCGGCACTCAGCTTTCTTCACAGTCCAACTCTCACATCCATAAATGACCACTGGAAAAACCATAGCCTTGACCAGACAGACCTTTGTTGGCAAAGTAATGTCTCTGCTTTTTAATATGCTATCTAGGTTGGTCATAACTTTCCTTCCAAGGAGTAAGCATCTTTTAATTTCATGGCTGCAGTGAAGCCCTTAGCACCCACTAAAAGCTTCGATTCCTGCATGCAAATAAATCAGAAGGTTTCAAAAATAAAATCCTTTACAACATGTTCAAAATGAGAGTGTGTCCCAAAGAATGATTTCTGGGAGCAGAAACTATCCCACGTAATTAGTGGCTAATTGATTTTCCCACTGTTCTCCCCAAACCCCAGTCATCAAGATCCAAGCATGTTTGGGGGAAATAAGTAGCTAAGATTCCATATGCTCCTACACTGCGCACCGCACAGGGCCCATTCCTCTGACCCAGGAGAGCAAGGGACGGGCAGGTCCCTTCAAAAGAACTAAGGAAGACTTGGCTCTTTGCTAATCACCCTTGGCCAGTGACTTGAGTGTTTTCTAACTTAATTTGGCAGATCAAATATTAAGGAAAAAACGTTTGATTGCCCAAACTGCACAATATTGGCTCTCCAAGTTAAATCTGCAATCAAACTGATGCCCATTTCAAAAGTGCCACTTGGAAAAATCCTATTTATAAGCCTTGTACATTATCAGGTGGTGAAGAAGGATGAAGAAAAGAAGCTCGCAGAGTATAAGAATTACTGGGTAAAGCTGTGCATCCTGCGCTAAAGAGACTAAATCATTTCCCTCCCAACTCCTTACACTGCACTTAAAGAGACACCTACTCAACGTGCAAACTCAACTCCCTTCAGGAGATGAGAACACGTAAGTTATACCAGTGCCCCCAGCAGCCAAGAAAATATCATCAGGTCCTCACATTCTATACTTTCCTCCTAGAGTTCCTCAGGCTGTCCTTCCGAGACCACTTCTTCTTAATTTTAGACTCACTCTAACAATTTAAACATCAGGTGTTAGAAGCAGCAATTTAGAAAAGGAGGAGGTCAGACTGCTCCAGGTAAGCCCCACAACAGTAACAAGAAGAAATGACTGACAGTCTGACCTCCAAGGAGATGGAAAGCTATTTTACAAAGTGGAAGGAAGGGGGCTGATACAGAAACTCAAAATAATAACAGCCTAGCCCATTCAAGGTAGGGACGAACAGCTTTGCTGTCCTTGAGAGCATCTCCATAATACAGAACAGTATAGTAACTTATGTGAAAGGAAACGATGCTTAATATATTTTGTAGCAGAATTCCATAGAACAATAGAATCCTAGGTGGAAAGAGTAGGAAGATCCTAAAGAGAGCACCCCGGCCTAATTCCTTTACCTTACAAGGAAGGAAACACGTAAAGGGGTGCACAGGCTCGAGGCAGAGTTGAGACAAAGAGGGGAACCCGGCTGTCCAGGGCTCCTTCCCTATGGAGGCGCCCACACTGCCACCACCGAGGGGAAGGAAGAGAGAGTGCATCACATGTAGTCATACGTCATGTGGCTGCTTCCGACATCTCTGCTTTTGCATCCTTGCATTGATTTTACTCTCTTCCAAAGGAGAAGAAACTTGCTCTCTTCAGTCACAAAAGAATGAACGATTTTTCCCTGATTTGTGATGAGAACCACAGGGCTGGCCCTGAACAAAATTGGGACTGAAAGTAACATTTACTTTGCGTTCTCCTCTCCCTCTATCTCCCATTCCTGGTGTGTCTCCTCCAAACTGTCGCATGGCTGTCCTCCCACTCGGTACCCCACCCATTGGCCCCAAATCTAGAGTTTCTAGTACAATGTAGAATATTCTCCCAACTTCCAGAAGTGTGATATACTCCCAGCCTCTTTCTAATTTAATTTCTAATTCTGTAAAACAAACAAAATGAGGCAATATACCAGTGTTTCTCAAATATAAATGGCAAGCATATTAAAATGCATATTCCTGGTCTCCGTCTCCTGAAATCACAACTCAATAGACGACTCTGATCGCTTCTTGGCCTTCTGACTAAGATCAAGTGTAATAGATGACTCTGGTTGAAGTGTCGCACCAGACCCACTTTGGAAAACGTGTGGCTTCTGCCTGCCTCTCCAGCCTCGTCTCCTCCCAGTCCCCCAGTGCACATCCCCTTCCACCCAAAACTTCATACAGTCTCTCCCCACCATGCCTTTGCCTCACAGTCCACTTCTGAGTCCAATTAATTCCTCCACACACCTCAGAACCAGCTGATGCGCACGTCTCAACTCTGCTCTCTGTGTTCCTGTGTGTCTTTGCTTTGCTGAGCCCATACAGCCTACAAAGTGTGGGGATTTCCTGGCATAGCTCCTGGAGGCAAGGCCCTGCCTCACTTGTCTTTTTTCTATTCCCAGCATTTGGCATCTTGCCAAGCACATAGGAGACACTCTAGAAGTGTTCATTAGATTATCTTTTGCATGTGCAAATTTCCTAGTTAATAACTAGTCATTTATTTATATTTGCATTTTTAATTAACCCCCCATCCCATATTGTACAGGATTTTCAAAGATTGCTCCAGGTATCACCCTTAAATGAGGAACAGATTTTGTAATAAATAAAAATGAAAAGAGAAGAATGCTAACATAATCTAACCTTGGTGACATCAGTTGTATGGTCATAATGAATTAATTAGACCCAAGTTTACTCAGGATATCTGACACCTAAGGAACAACAACAAAGACACATACAATAAATGGGAGTTTTTTTAATAAAGAAGATCAGTTTCTAATTGTTCCTTAGAATTAGGTCTGGCATTCGGGTTTAGACTTTTTTCAGAAGTAAAGTTGGAAGACATCAGAACTGGCTTTGAATTGATTCATTTACATGAAACTTTGTGTACTTGTTCTAAGACCCCAGAGATGTCCAGGATCATCTATCCCAGATGGTTAGCCACCAAAAGGTTAGCTCATCTCCTGAAATCCATCTTTCATGTGTGTGTCCCATGCAGGCGTCTGCTATGCAGAGTTTGGAGTCCGCGTCCCCAAGACCACAGGGTCAGCCTACACCTACAGCTACGTCACTGTCGGGGAGTTTGTGGCATTTTTCATCGGCTGGAATTTGATCCTGGAGTACCTGATTGGCACCGCGGCTGGCGCCAGTGCCCTGAGCAGCATGTTTGACTCACTGGCCAACCACACCATCAGCCGCTGGATGGTGGACAGCGTGGGAACCCTCAACGGCCTGGGTGAGACTGCCACAGCCTCTAACTCCAACATGCAAAGTCACAAAGCCAAATAAAGAGGCTCCTCTTCCAGGATGCAATTTGGCAAAAGTACCAAGGGCCTTTTTTTTTTTGCCAAGTAATGGATGAATGAATCTGTCCTAACAAAACTATTTTAATTTCCATAAAAGGTTTTTATGAAAAAATGTTCATCACCACCTTATTTATAATAACAAAACAATTAGAAACTGTTTAAGTATTCTACATTGGAGCAACTGATTTAAGTAAACTATGGCAGTGTATGACATAGCTAGCAATTAAAAGGATGACTAGGAAGGCTGTTGTAAGAGCGTGGAATGTTTTTAATGCAATGCTGTATGATAAAGGACACAAACTGTATTTGCAACACGTTAATAACTGTATAAAAATACGAGTAATTTAGAAAAGGAACTATGAGGAACTTCTCTGATGGGTTCTTTAGAAGATTTTTAAAAATTTATCCTAAATCAGCATGCATTAATTTTTAAATAAGAGAATATATTTAAAAGAAACAAAATGAATGGGTATAACAAAATGAGTGAATACTAAAATAACCAGCTCATGTAACAAATACCTTGAGACTTCAGGCTGAACCCAAACTTCCATTCTGATATCGGACTATCCCTTCACAATCAAGGGAAGCTAAACTCTAGTGGAGGAGACTTCAGAAGTCTTGACCCAAAACATCCAGGGACTAATTCAGTGGCTGCATTTAAGTCATTGGCGCCCCTGTCTCAGAAGAGCTGACCAAAATGCTGAGCACCGAGATACCATGAGAAAATTTTAAAAATTTGAAGACAACATCTTCTCAGAATACTGATTTCATAGAATTTTAGGTCTGAAAGGGTCCTCCAAAATCAGGTAGCCCAAAATTTTCACTTTACAGATGAGGTTCAGAGAAAGGAGACATTTGCCCACGGCCACACGGCTGGTTCCAGGGCAGAGCTGAGCTGAAACCCAGGAGGCTGGCTGTTGAAGCAGTGCCCCTTTCCCTCTATAGAGGGCAGGAGTCCACTGGCCAACAGACAAGACCAAAGAGGCGGCGAGAGTTCCCCAGCCATCTTCTTTGCAATCACACAAATGGAAAGAACACCCTTCTTCCAATAACTGTCAAAGACACACATTTTTAAATTTGCTAATAAAGAGATTGCTGGAATGAAATGGAATATTTATGGGCTATAAAGTAAACAACAATGAAGATTAAATCGTTCAAATAACATGTTAGATCCGTGTATACATTTGAATGTCCTTGGATAGTCCTGACTTCGGATGTTCCATGCCATGGCTCCAGAGGAACTGCTGTAGTTGTCATATTATGGATCCCAATTTTTGGTTCAGGATATCAGGCCATCTCACCTATATACCAAAACCTTCCCATTTGCAAATAGACACCTGTGGACCACACACACACAGCCCCTTCTCCCTCCACAACACACTGACCACCCTTCTCTAAGCTGAGTGCAGATACACTGGGTGGGCCTGGACAATGTTATTAATTCACATCTTATCCCTCTAGGGAAAGGAGAACAATCATACCCCGACCTTCTGGCTTTGGTGATCGCAATTATCGTCACCATCATCGTCGCGCTGGGGGTGAAGAATTCTGTGGGCTTCAACAATGTACTCAATGTGCTGAACCTGGCCGTGTGGGTGTTCATCATGATTGCAGGCTTCTTCTTCATCAATGGGAAATACTGGGCTGAGGGCCAGTTCTTGCCCTATGGCTGGTCAGGGGTAAGTTCATTCCTAAATCCCTGTGGGTGTACCTGCTGCATGCTCTGCCTACTACCCTATGACCAGTTTGAGACATGAGTTAAAGGAAATGTTGCTTGTCCCATAACCTTCATGGCACTCTCTTCATCACCTTTTATCTGAATTTCATCAGAATGTTCTGAAGAAACAGTTCTTTTTTATTTAGCTGTTTCACAAACATTTCTTGAGCTCCTATGTTATATGGAAAGCGGTAATAGATTTGAAGTTTTGGTCACTTGCAATATGCCTAATTCTGCATATAGTATCTCATTTAATCTTCCTGCAATGCAGGAGACTGGGATTCTATCCCTGGGTCGGGAAGATTCCCTGGAGAAGGAAATGGTTACCCACTCCAGTATTCTTTCCTGAAGAATTCCATGGACAGAGGAGCCTGGCATCAGTCCATGGGGTCACAAAGAGTCAGACATGACTAAAAGACTAACATTCACTCAATAACCTTGCAAGGAGGATATTTATATTCTAGTCTTACAGATGAAAAAACTCAACACTCAGAGAGGTCAAATGACTAGATACTAAGCACATAGCATAAGTGCCCAAGTTAGGAGCCAAAGACAGGACTGTCTGATTCCAAAGCCTGCATATGAACAGCTCAGTCCTATAGAATCTCTCTACAGGACTGTTCAGTTCAGACAAGTTGGTAAACAGACAAGCAGTAAAAGAGGCCCGAACAGTGAGCAGGCAAGGAAGGGACGAGCATTGCTTCGGTATGGAACTAAGAAAGGAACAGTTCTCAAATCTAAACTCAATGTTTGATCCAAGGTGGAAAGTCCTGCTGGGGTCTGAGAGCAGAGAAGCCTACTGGTGTGGTCTGGGGGATTGACAAAAGAGTTAGCTGGACCAAGAGGACATCTTCAGATCTCATCCCAGTGATCTGATGGTGTGGTTTATGCTAAAGAAAGGTGGAAAGGTCTGAGTGGCAAATTCTTTATACTGACAAGTGCTCGTTCCAAGTCACACCTGAATTCTTCCTCTATATGACTAAAAATGCCACCTTTACGGATTTACTGGTAAAATTCACTCTCCCATTCTTCTTTTTTTCAAACTGTAGGACATAAATCAGAGAAGTTCGAGCTAGAAGGGATCTTAGAGGCCCCCTGGTCCCACCCTCTCCCTTAACAGATAAAGAAACCGAGGCCAGGAAGACAAGCCTGCCCAGCATCAGTGACAGAAGGCCAGGATTCCACCAGATTTGCTTTTGTAGTCTTTGCTTACACTGGCTTTCCAGGGACCCGAAATCTCTCTTGGAGAACACTCAAAATAACTTCTGTGTATTCTAAACCATGCCACGCTGTTCAATGAAGAGAAATAAGCAAGGAAACAATTTAAACCAAGGTTTCCAGTCTTCTGCTTATCAGTAAGAATTCTGCACAGCCACAGAGTTCATCCCTCCCGCTTGAGGTGAATAAATCCTCAAACTGGTTAAAACCAGAAAAAGAGACAAAAAAACACTGTTGACCCCATTCTGGATCCCCAAGTCTGTATTTTCTTATGATACAAATTGTTCCCTTCCTATCATATAAGAAAACAACAAATGATAATAGTGACAAAGAAAGAATGTTTTCCCAGAACTCAACTGCATTTTCATCATAACACATGAAAATATGTTCTCACCATTTTCTTAACTATGTAAGAAATTACTGGGTCATGGACTTACTGTAAGGCTTTGGCCAACAATTAACTTCTGTGCTTTCTGGTTTTCTCATCTATCAGGTGGTAAAACTAATTGCACCAGCTGTTTGCAAAAAGATAATAAAACCTTAGACTTTTTAAGTCCACACTGTATAATTAGTAACAATGATCATGATGGAGGAAGGAGCTAGAATTTACCCACTACCTTCTGGGTGCCCAGCACGTGCTCTGTGAATATTATCTCACTCTTATAACAAAACTTTGAAACAGGTGCCACTATCCCCAACTAACAGATGGAGAACTCAAGGCTCGGAGAAGCTGGGTAACTTGCTGAAAGTCACTTAGCTAGTCAGTGCCAGGACTGAAATCCCCACCCAGGTGTTTGGCTCCAAAGCCCCTTCCACTACATCAAGTACCTTGTGTATGATCCCTGCCTTCTGAGTCTTCTTAATAGCTCCTTTAAGCTTCACAAAGACTTGGAATCTTGGAGCTGGGAGGAGCATTAAGATGGGAGGATAGTTAAGCCTGGGGCTTCCCAAGTGGTGCTAGTGGTAAAGAACCCTCCTGCCAATGCAGGAGACATAAGAGACTCAGACTCAATCCCTGGATCAGGAAGATCCCCTGGAGAGGGGCATATAACCCACTCCAGTATACTTGTCTGGAGAATCCCATGGACAGAAGAACCTGGCAGGCTACAGTCTGTGGGGTCACAAAGAGTCAGACCTTACTGAGCGACTGAGCACAAGCAAAGTTAAGATCACAGGTCTAGACCATAGTAGAGTGGAATTCAACTCCAGTCCTGGAGGAGTCAGTCCTTATTCACTCCACTGCCCCCAGGACCTCACGCATGGGACCAACTGTCTTTTTTTGCACCTTTGGCCATTGACCTCACTCCAACCCAAACGTACTACCTGGAGTTGGCTGGTCGTTGGTCACCAAAAAAGCCTGACTGGGATTTTGGGATTTTTGCTGTGAGTCCTCTTTCCCTGCAGGAAATTCAAATATGTGTACTTGTGGCCGTGCCTAAAAACATCAGCTGAGCACAGAGGACAGCCCAGCGTGAAGATGACTCATCCTCTCTGCCTGGCCTTGGATTTCTGCATCGTACATCTCCTCCCCAGCCCACTGCCTGGACCTGTTCTTTCTTGACTTGGGTTTTAGGTCACTTTTCCAGTCCAGCAAAGCCACTCTGAATATACATGGTATTTTTTGAGATCTGACACCTTCTTATGAGCATGTCATCCACCAAGTGAATAAACACACTCCCTACTCTGTTCTCTAACAACTGTCAGCAAAATCAAGTTGCCTACTTGCCAACTGCATGAACTTCCTCACTCCTTAGGGAAAATCCGACCCCCACCCCTGACCAAAAAAAAAAATCTGATGAAATTTGTTAGTCACTCAGGCATATCCAGCTCTTGGCAACCCCATGGACTGTAGCCTGCCGGGCTCCTCCGTCCATGGAATTTTCCAGGCAAGAATACTGGAGTGGGTTGCCATTTCCTTCTCCAGGGGAATCTTCCCGATCTTCCCGACCCAGGGATTGAACCTGAGTCTCCTGCACAGCAGGCAGATTCTTTACCATCTGAGCCACAAACGAAGCCCACCTCTGACAAGGGGACTGACAAGTTCAGAGTACCAATCCACTTTCTTCTTCAATCCCTATAGGTAAGACGGGATGGAGGACACCATTGTGGAGGGAATGGTTTAAACGGATTACGTGACTTAAAACACAACTCTCAAGGACTTCTAAAGGGTTAATGAGCAATCCATCCTCTGGCCATGGACCCCTCAGAAGCCTAGTCTTTCCCTGTTCCAAACACTTCCTTCCAAAGAAAATAGCATAAGGAATGGTTTACTCACTTACGGGTTCTGGGTCAAATACTTCTTTGGTCTTGAAGAGCTTAAGAACAACAAACATTTTTTCCCTATATCAAGTAACTGCTGGCCCTCAGCTGAACCCCCACTTCCATCTGCAATTCCTCAGCCCCTGAATATTGTTGGATGCGTATTCACTGTATGTTATTTGTTCTCGATGCTATCTTATGGTTTCTCTTTAACCAAATAAAACATTCTACCAGCACAAATATCTCCCAGGAAAATGGTTCAGAGCAAGTGTTTGTGGGGAATGCTGACAGTCTCCAAAAAGAGGAAAAGCTGTTTTCAGATGTCTCCACATTTGAATCCACTTGCTGGAACCTATTAGCACATTCCACTGTCGCTGTGGACAGGTTACTAACAGATCTGGAGCAAGATGGTGGTAGGAAATGCTGCTAAAGTTGGAGTTTTTTCTTGTTACTTTGAGAGTGAATTACACAAAGATGCCTAATTATCTTGTGGGCATATCTAAAGTAGAATATGGAGAACCTAAACACCTCTCAAATATCAGCAAGGCACAGGGATCCCAGCTTTTAGGGATCCCTGAAGTTGAGTAGCAGGCCGGCAATGGCATTCTTTTGTCAACGAATTAAGCAACAGTCCTCCAGCAACTGAGGCAGGTGCTGCTGCCCCACAAAGCTCCGGAGAGGGAAAGACTGACCTGCATCATCTGGCTGAGCAGCTTTACCAGGCTGACCTTGGAAAATAATTTCCAGTGACATCATCAAATTGAAAAGTCAATACTGGTTTTTACTTATGTAAGACATTAAAGGAAGGTTAGGATAAAGTACTGATGAAGGCAGAAACATGCATACACACACACACACACATGCTTCACCCACTCATTTAATTCACAGATGCTCACCCCTGGGTACCAAACACATTCTTTCGAGCACGGAAGCGTATCCTAACTGTAAATACCAGAGGCTCGATCTGAAATCTGGGTAGAGTGAAGTAGAAAGCAGTTTTAGCGGTTTTGGGGAAGAGACACACCCATACAGTTTCATTTCATGGCTTTTTTGTATTTACCGACCAGGGATTATTTGCTTGAAGGTCAAAAAAAAAAAAAAACCCTCATTCAAATTAATTCATGTAAAAAGGTGACCCTATTTGTTAACTGTATTATCTTCTCTTAAATAATGTTTATTTAATCTATATCTTGTTAGGCCAGAGTCTGTTTGATCCTGGCAGATGTGCTGCTTTTCCATTTGCCCACACTCTCCCAGATCGCCTCTCTACTCCTCCTGCTCCGCTCTGTGCTCCAGAAGACCCCCTGCTGGTGGCTTCCTGTTAGGTTTAGCCAATGGGAGATACCAATCAGGAGATCAGAAGCGGAGAAGAGAAAAGGCCAGGGTATTTCTTCCTCACTTCCTCTCAGCCTCGACCCCTAGAGTCCCTTCATCGAAATCATTCCATTTGAACAATCTGAGTTAAATTTCATGGGCTTCCCATCACAGTAGAACCTCCAGATGGCCTACTTTTGATCTGTTGAGTCTTTCTTCAATCATAACTGCTTTCTAGTTCTACACATGCAAATTAGGGCTAACAGACATTCTCTTTGCAAACTTATTCTCTCTCTTCCCAACTAACCTAGTTCCCATAGTTAACTTTCTGGTATCTAATTATTATCAGTAATTGCCATTCATGCTTTCACTCATTTGGGAAACAGTAGCATCTGTCGGTGATGGACAGGGAGGCCTGGCGTGCTGCGATTCATGGGGTCACAAAGAGTTGGACATGGCTGAGCGACTGAACTGAACTGAACTGAGCATCTGTGTTTTACAAATAATGTTCAGTTCAGTTCAGTTGCTCAGTTGTGTCCGACTCAGTGACCCCATGGACTGCAGCACGCCAGGCTTCCCTGTCCATACTAATTCCCGGAGCTTGCTCAAACTCATGTCCATCAAGTTGGTGATGCCATCCAACCATTTCATCCTCTGTTCATCCCCTTCTCCTCCTGCCTTCACTCTTTCCCAGCATCAGGGTCTTTTCCAATGTGTCAGTTCTTCACATCAGGTGGCCAAAGTATTGGAGCTTCAGCTTCAGCATCAGTCCTTCCAATGAATATTCAGGACTGTTTTCCTTTAGGATTGACTGGTTTGATCTCCTTGCTGTCCAAGGAACTCTCAAGAGTCATCTCCAACACCACAGTTCAAAAGTATCAATTCTTCAGTGCTAAGCTTTCTTTATAGTCCAACTCTCTCATTCATAGATGACTACTGGAAAAACCATAGCTTTGACTATATGGACCTTTGCTGGTAAAATGATGTCTCTGCCTTGTAATAATGTAGGTATTTGCTAATCTCAATCAATTTGTTATCACAATCAAGGTAGCATTTCTGGTCTTGCAGTGTCCTCTAGGCCCCTAACCCCAGGAGCTCATGCTCAGAGTACTTTTTGCACATGACTGTATCCATATCACCAAGCAGAGTTCCTGGTTCATGGGAGCAATTAATAAAATATGAATCAAGTTCTAAAACAAAAATAAGGAGGAAGAAGAGGGGGAATTTATTTGTGTCCTTGATTTCATCTGTTCTAGAAAAACTTACAATAGTAATAAAAATACTACTGATAAGAGCAATATTTATTAAGCACCTACCCAGGTGTGGTAAAGAATCTGCCTACCAAAGCAGGAAATACAAAAGACTCGGGTTTGATCCCTGAGTTGGGAAGAACCCCTGGAGAAGGAGATGGCAACCCACTCCAGTATTCTCGCCTGGAGAATCTCATGGACAGAGGAGCCTGGCCGGGCTACACTCCATGGGGCCACACAGAGAGTCAGACATGACTGAATAACTGAGCATATATTCTACAACTGTGGTGGACTATCTCATTTAATCCTTGTAACAATCCAATGAGCTAAATACTATTTTTATTTCCATTTAAGTGATAAAATGAAGCCCCATGGGGTTAGGAACTTGTTCTATGTCACCAAGCTAGTTCTTGGCAGAACCAAGCAAGGTCTGATAGGCTACAGAATCTGCACTCCTAACCAAGTCCTATCCCACCCATACACACGGTTCTGAGATTCCCCCTGGAGCCTACAATGCACCTCTCTTCCAACAACTATATGATTCATACTTCAAAACTGGAAGGTGTTGCTCCAAGATACCTGTACCTTGGAGGTATCTTCCACTGAGCCTTCTCTTTCAGTTAGCCCTCACTTTGGCCTCAGTTAATCTTTTTATGGCATGGTTTAGACCTCTCACCATTTTTTTTTTGTAAATTAATTTATTTATTTTAATTGGAGGCTAATTACTTTACAATATTGTAGTGGTTTTTGCCATACATTCACATGAATCAGCCATGGGTGTACATGTGTCCCCCATCCTGAACCCCCCTCCCACCTTCCCCCGCCATCCCATCCCCCAGGGTCATCCCAGTGCCCCAGCCCTGAGTGCCCTGTCTCATGCATCCAACCTGGACTGGCGATCTGTTTCATATATGGTAATATACATGTTTCAATGCTAGCCTCTCAAATCATCCCACCCTCGCCTTCTCCCACAGAGTCCAAAAGTCTGTTCTTTAAATCTGTGTCTCTTTTGTTGTCTCGCATATAGGGTCATCATTACCATCTTTCTAAATTCCATATATATGCGTTAGTATACTGTATTGGTGTTTTTCTTTCTGACTTACTTCACTCTGTATAATAGGCTCCAGTTTCATCCACCTCATTAGAATTGATTCAGATGCATTCTTTTTAATAGCTGGGTAATATTCTATTGTGTATATGTACCACAGCTTTCTTATCCATTCATTGGCCGACAGACATCTAGGTTGCTTCCATGTCCTAGCTATTGTAAACAGTGCTGTGATGAACACTGGGGTACACGTGTCTCTTTTACCTTTTTCCAGGGTAGCTTGGCCCTGAATTCTTACTTAGGACCTTCCCACCCTCCTATCCTCAGAAGGGAGCTCTTCCAGTATCTAAGACCATCCAGCACTGATCACTCCAAGTGGGTATGGCACTGTAGCCCCGGGACGTCCTAATTAGGATTGATTGCATCATCAGACTGATTGTCATAAAATGTCACTGTATGATTTATAAGAGGGGTGTGTGTGTGTGTGCATGTGTATGGAAAGAAAGATGTTAAAGGAAGAGAAAGCAGGACCTGTTTTTCTGGAAGCTGTCTTAAAGCGAGGCCTTCGTGGATTGGGGCAACTTGGTGAGCCTGAAATTCCAGCATCCATCCATCCTTGAACACCAGAAACATTTTTTAGACAAGTGAAAACAAGTACATTTCCAAACCTGTGAACCCCCATGTACCATAAGGTAAGATCTCTTTGACCTCCTTGTCTGGAGGCAAAAGACACTTCCCACTCCCTGAAATGCAGAACTCTGCTGGAGTGAAAGTAGGAATCATCTCCTCTCCCAGACAGTAGCCCCCTGGTGACAACTGCTTGTATGGAAGTTCTTTCTACTAGAACAGATCAGGAGTTATTAGATTCTTGTGTGTGCAGCAGACTCGTTGGCAGTCTGGTGAAGCAGATGAATCTCCTTTGGGATTGTATTTATATTGTATATAAACTGTGTTTACAAATGAATGACCTAATTACACAGAAGTTCGAAAGAAACCAATTACAGTTAACCTATCAACAATAGCAGTTTGAATCAGGCTGTTACACCTTTTTTTTTTCCAAAAGTAAATACTATGGTACTACATCAGTGCGTGGTTAGCTCACTCTGTGGACACGAAACCACAGACATGGAGGGATCAAGTACATGAGGAACCACGGACACAGAGGGCCAGTATAAGTTATACTCGAATTTTCTGCTGTGCTGGGGTCAGCATCCCTAACCCCCATGTTGTTCAAGGGTCAACTGTAAAAATTAAAAAAAAAATTTTTTTAATTGTGATATAACCATGGGCTTCTTTATTAGTGCTTTAAATATTAATATGTATGTCTAATAACTAACATAAATTGCAAGTAGCAATGAGCACAAATGGTATTTCAAGATCTCTGCAACAACTAATATAATTGGGAAAATATCTGATTGGTGACAAATATCACAATCCTGTTAGTTTGTCATCTATACTCATAATGAAAAGAAATGACAACATTCAATAGAAGGGTAAGGAAAATAAAGAATTATTTTTCTCATCAAAATTCTCAGACTCTCCTGAATTGCATGGACCCCAGAATAAGAGCCCCCAGTTAGAGAACTGAAGCATTAGAGCGCTAATGGGAGAGACTAGAGAAGAGACTAACTCATTTTACAGATGAGCAAATGTTGCTTTTGAAAGTTTGAGACGATCTTCCATTTTGTGATGTACTTTGTAGGTTCTAGTTCTTAGTATTATGCCTTTTACTTACTGAGAAGTCAGTCAGAAAGGTAAGAGTGAAAATCTAGGGACAGGTATCTGCTTGGCACATTTTTAGAATTTCATCCTTTACAAACCAAATATGGACAAAAAGGAAAAACTGGCCCAGTCTCCAATGAGCCCTAGAGTTTGCATGGTATCAAATGCCTTTACCCCATACACAGAAAATCCAGAAACATCTTTTTCATCTTCCCCTAAAAGGATATCCCCAAGCATTTCTTACTTTCAGCTGGTAATGAGAATGCTAAGGTGGGAAAACAGAATTTAAACTTTGAAAAATTCTTTGGAAGAAACTTACATGCTCCTCAATGGAGGATTTTCACTGACATCTTGACCCATCAAATTACAACCATCTTTGGAATCACATGGGCTCCTGTCAGACAGACATCCAGCAGATGTCACTGGATACCACCTCCCCAGCTTCACTCTGCCTCACTCTTCATCCCTTCCCTGGGCATGTAGCCCAACCAGGCTGCTCAAACCCCCAAAATTGGCTCTCCCTTTCTTTCCATGGAAGACAAGAGTCTACCTGAAAAATCTAAAAATCCTTTATATCACTTAACATCTGGAAGATACCCTGAAAATGATCTACCAGGGTCACTAGTAGTAATTTGAGCAGGAGAATTTGTGCAACCGCATCTGAGACCTCTACTAAATGCCACAAGTGCCCACTCCATGTCCCTGTATCAGTCACAAGTACCTCCCCACATTTCCAAACATTTCCTAGGGGTTGTCACACAGCCCCTGGTTATGATTGAGAACCACTAAATGAAAATAAAGCACAAAGAAATTAATGAGTTCCCCCCAAGACATAGGGTTAGCCAACTTACTGATTTACTTAAAGCTCACTTACTCCCAAAAATGATTTCAATGTGTTGAATGAACCTAATTTTTATTTGGGCATAATTCTTCTTATCTTCATTTTATACATGAAGAAATTTCCCAGTGTCACGCAGCTAGTAGAAGTCAGAACTCAAGCCTTTAGCACAAGTTCCACCATGTTACCCCCTCTACCACTCAGTAATGTCTGCTGACCATCCGGCAATTAAGGGGACCACGTGTCAGGAGCTGGTGATCCACTGACACTCTAAGTATTTCAAATGTCTTCATCTCTATAGGTGCTGCAAGGAGCAGCCACGTGTTTCTATGCTTTCATTGGCTTTGACATCATCGCCACCACTGGAGAGGAAGCCAAGAATCCCAACACATCCATCCCTTATGCTATCACCGCCTCCCTGGTCATCTGCCTGACAGCTTATGTATCCGTAAGTAATAAAGGCTTATTATGGCACCTTCCACATGGACTTTTCATATTTGACCTTAAAATGTGGCTCTGGGACTGGGTTTCCTTCTGTCAGGAAGTAATCCTTCACTTGTGCATTTGTGGTGTTTGTACGCATATGATCATGTTGCTCCCTCTTTTAACACGAGCTCAAGCTCACCCCTCCCACTGATGACAGGGAGAAAATCACGGTTCCAAGCTGGACACAGGAGAAACCCCAGGCCCTCACTTGGGCCGTGGCTCACATCCCTGCTCCGCCCTATGCACAGGCTCTCGGCATCCCAGCATCCGGTGCTGGGAGTGGGGGTGGTGGGGGGAGCGTGCAGGGAGTGGGCTGCCGTCCAAAGAGTTCAGATCATAGGCTGGCAGTAACGGGTGGGTGTGCAAGCAAGCAGAGGCATTGTGGGCCTCTGTGCACCCTCCTCAATGCTCTTCTGTCTTCTGGGAGCTTCCCAGCAGCAAAGAGGCAAGGCTCCCCCAGAGGGGGGAAGGAGAAAACAGGATTGTCCTGGAAGACAACGGGAAACACGAGAGCAGCACTGGATATGGTTTGCCCACCAAAATGTTTCTATTCACGGATAGGTCAATTATCACTTCCCCTATGCACACGGCTTCTCAGGTGGCATTAGTGGTAAAGAACCCACCTGCCAACACAGGAGACATGGGTTGGATCCCTGGATGGGGGAAGATCCCCTGAAAAAGGGCACGTCAAGCCACTCCAGTATTCTTGCAGGGAAAATCCCACAGACAGAGGAGCCTGAAGGGCATCAATCCATGGGGTCACAAAGAGTCAGACACGACTGAGCACAGAGCTTATGCACACGCATGCAACTTATCTTATCCAGCCCTGATTATCCCTGCAGACAGAATATTCAGAAACAGTGTGGGGGAGGGGCAGCAGGGGGAGCAACAGAGACACTCTGCTGTGCATTCCCCCCCCGTACCACCCCATACCTTCCCCTCCTCCGGGAGTCAACCCTTGTAGCACACACAGTAAAGTTAAACCACAGTTCCTTCCTTAGGATAGTGCTTTACAGACTACAGAGTAAGTCAACCACATTTTGCCCTAATCAAACATGGGGGGAGACTCACCAAGAACTGCTGTAGGAATCCACCCCACTCTCCTCCAATCTACCCCACCACATCCCCAAAGAGGATGTTGCAAGTGATGGTGTTACTGGGACAGGTTCCCTTTTAGAATGTGTGGGTCCTAACCACGCCTCAGGAGTTGTTTGGTCTTGTGTCGGTCACCAGGCGCACTCTACCACCAGAAGAGCCACACTGCTGGGCTGGGGTCACACATCTCGCCATCCTCCCCACTGGCCACTTTGTTACACTGGGGGATCTTGGCTCCTGAGATATAGGCGAAAAAGTGATCTAGAAATGAACCACCCTCTCCTTTTCAGGCTCTGGACTCCCTCAGTGATGCCAAGATTGGCCTTCACAGCCCAGGGGTCTCCTGGCCTTATGACTGGCGTCTCCATTGCCTGGGGCCAATTATGAAGGGAGGAATGTCATGGTAGATCTATGACATGTGAGGAGAAATAGGTCCTGGTTAAGCAAAGCCATAATGGTCTTCTAGCTCACAGCAGAACTGGACTCCATTCTGATGCCATCATTTATTTCTTGGCCTGCCTGTTTCCTGGGACTGAGCTACAGAGAGGAAATGGAAATATGAGTCCCATCAGTTAATCGACTATGGATCCCCTACACATTTATCTTTTGAGTTTTGATCTCTGGTCTTTGGGGTAAGAAGTAGGACAGTTGAGACCCTGTAGGACCTGGAAAGTACAAAAGAAATGAGTCTTGTCCATGAAGGCACAGTGCGCGTGGTCAGTGCCAGGTCCTGACTCCAGGGCCTCTGGCTATAGCTCCTGCCATTGGATAACACCTGCTCTTCACTGAACTATCCATGTAGCTCCTCTTTCAGGCGCTGAAATACCAGCAGAGGTTACCTCAGATATGAAAGAACCACACAGAGACAGTAGAAATGACCTGGTCCAGTCCACTGAATTCACATGAGGGGAGGAAATTCTGAGACCAAGAGCTCCAGAGGCAAAGTAAAGGCACACACCAGAAAGTGGCAGATGCAGGCTCCCAGGCAGGACCAGGTCTCTTTCCTCTGCTCCAGGACACCCATCCATGCGTCAGACTGATCCCTCTACCTCCAACCACGTTTCATCTTGTTTTAACAGGTGAGCATGATCCTAACTCTGATGGTGCCATATGACGCCATTGACACGGAGTCCCCACTCATGGAGATGTTTGTGGCTCGTGGGTTCTATGCCGCAAAGTTCGTCGTGGCCATTGGGTCGGTTGCAGGACTGACGGTCAGCTTGCTGGGCTCCCTCTTCCCAATGCCAAGGGTTATCTATGCCATGGCCGGCGATGGGCTCCTCTTCAGGTAAGGGCTATGCTCGTGGCATTTATTTTACTCTTCCATGCCTGTCCAGGGAGACTGTCACCCATCTTCCCCTGTCATATGGACCACGGAACTTGTCATATATCTTGGCAAGAAGTTTGAGTGAAAATAATTTAGGTCCTAAAACAGCCCCTCAGTTTGACTCTGGGTCCCTCAATCTAGCAACAAACTGATATGTTCCCCCAAGTGCCCCTCCCCTTTTATGTGACACTGTCTGTTCCTTCGTAAAGATGGTGAGTGCCAAAATGCTACATGGGTGGCCTCCAGAAGGAAGGACCCATCCCAGGGGCATCTTAGGCTTGCCCTCACATTGAGCCCTGACAACTGCTCCCCTGACACTGAAAAAAGTTCAAAGTTACAATCAAAGAGAGGATAAGACCCTTTGAGCAGAACCTGGTAATAGTAGCAATGACTACCACCATTTATTGAATGTCTGTGTATCCCGGGTATACGGTATCCCATTTAGTCATCACAATAACTCTATTTAACAGAACAATGTAAGTTCAGTTCAGTTCAGTCACTCAGTCATGTCTGACTCTTTGCGACCCCATGAATCGCAGCACATCAGGCCTCCCTGTCTATCACAAACTCCCAGAGTTTACTCAAACTCATGTCCATCGAGTCGGTGATGCCATCCAGCCATCTCATCCTCTGTCATCCCCTTCTCCTCCTGCCCCCAATCCCTCCCAGCATCAGGGTCTTTTCCAGTGAGTCAACTCTTCACATGAGGTGGCCAAAGTACTGGAGTTTCAGCTTCAGCATCAGTCGTTCCAATGAACACCCAGGACTGATCTCCTTTAGGATGGACTGGTTGGATCTTCTTGCAGTCCAAGGGACTCTCAAGAGTCTTCTCCAACACCACAGTTCAAAAACATCAATTCTTCGGCACTCAGCTTTCTTCACAGTCCAACTCTCACATCCATACATGATGACTGGAAAAACCACAGCCTTGACCAGACAGACCTTTGTTGGAAAAGTAATGTCTCTGCTTTTTAATATGCTATCTAGGTTGGTCCTAACTTTCCTTCCAAGGAGTAAGCATCTTTTAATTTCATGGCTGCAGTCACCATCTGCAGTGATTTTGGAGCCCAGAAAAATAAAGTCTGACACTGTTTCCCCATCTATTTCCCATGAAGTGATGGGACCAGATGCCGTGATCTTAGTTTTCTGAATGTTGAGCTTTAAGCCAACTTTTTACTCTCCTCTTTCACTTTCATCAAGAGGCTTTTTAGTTCCTCTTCACTTTCTGCCATAAGGGTGGTGTCATCTGCATATCTGAGGTAATTGATATTTCTCCCGGCAATCTTGATTCCAGCTTATGCTTCTTCCAGCCCAGCGTTTCTCATGATGTACTCTGCATAGAAATTAAATAAGCAGGGTGACAATATACAGCCTTGACGTACTCCTTTTCCTATTTGGAACCGGTCTGATGTTCCACGTCCAGTTCTAACTGTTGCTTCCTGACCTGCATGTAGGTTTCTCAAGAGGCAGGTCAGGTGGTCTGGTATTCCCATCTCTTTCAGAATTTTCCACAGTTTATTGTGATCCACACAGTCAAAGGCTTTGGCATAGTCAATAAAGCAGAAATAGATGTTTTTCATCTAGTACAGAACAGTGTACTAGATGAAAATACTCAGAGAGATTAAAAAAAAACAAAAACTTGCCCCAAATCTCCCAGATGCTGGAGGGGTGGGTCAGGATTTGACCCAAATGACCAGATTTTTAACCACGTCAAGACACTGACACTTCCAGTCCCCTAATCTGGCCAGAAAGTAGCCTATCTGCCCATGGTACACAGGGGATGTGGCCCCATCTCTTGGTGCCTCATGCCTCCTGTGTGAGGAACTTGCAGGCAAAGCATTCTTCAAGTGCACCAAACAAGGAGCAAATTGCCAAGAAGGTCTCAGGAGTTCAGAGGGACCAAGCTCAGAGACTTTTACTCTGCCATCAGCTGTCACCTTCTGCAACAGTTCCTGTGCATACCCTCTGAGGTCAGAGCTGAGAGCTTGGGGGAGCTAGAGGCTGATCGTGGTGGAGATGTGACAACTTCACACATCCACAAGGTCTTTCTGCTGTCAAAGAAAACCGAGAGATGCCACGGCTCTGAGCAGTTTATGCTGCTGCTGCTGCTGCTAAGTCGCTTCAGTCGTGTCCGACTCTGTGCGACCCCATAGACAGCAGCCCACCAGGCTCCCCCGTCCCTGGGATTCTCCAGGCAAGAACACCGGAGTGGGTTGCCATTTCCTTCTCCAATGCATGAAAGTGAAAAGTGAGAGTGAAGTCGCTCAGTCGTGTCTGACGCTTCGCGACCCCATGGACTGCAGCCTACCACGCTCCTCCGTCCATGGGCTTTTCCAGGCAAGAGTACTGGAGTGGGGTGCCATTGCCTTCTCCGCTGAGCAGTTTATAGTCTTGAGTGAATCACGGAAATAAGGGAGGACTGGAAGAGAAGCAAGAATGAGGGCCAGGAGGAGAGGAAGGTGGAAGGTGGGAGCCTATCTAAGTCTAAGGACCTGCCAAACAAGCACCTGTCATTCAATCACCCTTGTTGGTCTTGTCTATCTTCTCCAGTGAGTGACTGGACAGATTTAGCTTTCATCCACAAGCACATGTTCTTAATGACTGTGCTATTTTGCAACCAAATCCCTGTACTTTCGTTGGAGAGCAAGCTTCTCAGGCTTTGGCATAAATCAGAATCCTCTAGAGGTTTTTTAAAGTGTATAGTTTGTTGGGCCCCACTCCCAGAGTCTGACATAGTAGATAAAACCTGAAAATACATATTTCGAACAAGTTCCAAGGTGTTGCTAACACTGCTGATTCATGGACCATACTTTGGATAACACAGGTGGAGAGGGCCACCAGGCAGGTATGTGACTTCAACTGTCTCCTGTTCATAGCAAAGTCTGGGCTTCAATTTAGATTCCTGAGAACCTCCTAGATTCCATCAACCCACCACATCACATAATGAAGTAGGCACTTTAATAGAGCAGTTTGCCTCATACCCAAGGAATTAAAATAGATTCTGTTTAAATTATATTTCAGAAACTAGATCCTCGAGTAGGAACAGCAACAGTATTTAAAGCAGTGAGTCCAGAAGTAAACTGGAGGAGCAGGACCAGGAGGTGTTAAACCATGTTGAATCCATCGCCATTAACCCTCTGCTTGCCCCTCCTCCAGATTCCTGGCTCACGTGAGCTCCTACACAGAGACCCCCGTGGTGGCCTGCATCGTTTCAGGGTTCCTGGCAGCTCTCCTCTCCCTGCTAGTCAGCTTGAGAGACCTGATTGAGATGATGTCCATCGGCACCCTCCTCGCCTACACCTTAGTCTCCGTCTGCGTCCTGCTCCTTCGATACCAGCCCGAGAGTGACATTGACGGCTTTGTCAAATTCCTGTCTGAGGAGCACACGAAGAAGGAGGGCATTCTGGCTGACTGTGAGAAGGAAGGATGCTCTCCTGTGAGTGAAGGGGAAGAGTTCTCTGGCCCAGCCACCAACACATGTGGGGCCAAGAACCTGCCATCCTTGGGAGACAATGAGATGCTCATAGGGAAATCAGACAAGTCGACCTACAATGTCAACCACCCAAACTACGGCACTGTGGACATGACCACAGGCATAGAAGCTGATGAATCTGAAAACATCTATCTCATCAAGTTGAAGAAGCTGATTGGGCCCCGTTACTACACCATGAGGATCCAGCTGGGCCTTCCAGGCAAGATGGACCGGCCCACAGCCGCTACAGGGCACACGGTGACCATCTGCGTGCTCCTGCTCTTCATCCTCATGTTCGTCTTCTGCTCATTCATCATCTTTGGTTCTGACTACATCTCAGAGCAGAGCTGGTGGGCCATCCTTCTAGTCGTTCTGATGGTGCTGCTGATCAGCGCCCTGGTGTTTGTGATCCTGCAGCAACCAGAGAACCCCAAGAAGCTACCCTACATGGCTCCCTGCCTCCCCTTTGTGCCTGCCTTTGCCATGCTGGTGAACATCTATCTTATGCTAAAGCTCTCCACCATCACGTGGATCCGGTTTGCAGTCTGGTGCTTTGTCGGTAAGCAAATTCCTTTGGAGCCTTGAGAGTTCCCTTCTAAGGCCTTGACCAGGCTTATCCCAAAATTACCTCCTAACCTAACTGGGCATCCCCTTGCCAAGAGAATTCTGGCTGGTTCTGTGGGTCCTTGCTTTTTTTTTAGAGTCAAAAAAGCCACGTGTGAAAAAAAAAGCCACATGTGCCCTTTCTGCCTGTTATGATCTTGGTTGTTCCTTCTAAAGAATGATACTGATCAATCCATCACTTCACTGAATGCTATTACTGGATATTCTTCTTGTGGATAATTAGTATCATAGAAAGTGATACTTATTTTAAGTGGATCCACATTTTAAAATGAATCCACATTTTTAAAAAAGGACAAAAATAACATATAAATTGATAATGGGAAAGGTTGATTGGAATTCTTAAAAACTAATAATTATGAAGAATTTTATTTATCTTATGTTGGACAGAATTAAAATAGCAATCATGCCATATTTTTAAACAAGCAAAATATGAATTAAGTATGCATTCTTGGCATAATTTTTTGACAAAATTACATCCTGGCACCATTTAATAGTCCTCACTTTTTATCAACTTTCACAAAATATTTGAGCATTTCATTTTTTCCCAAGATCTTTCCTCATCCACTGATATTCCAATCATTTTCTTGGAAAATACCTATCATGTCATCATCCTTGATTTTCTCTTCTTCTGTTGATAACTGATAAGGCTCTGTCAGGTTCTCAATATCCACAGCTTTAAGTGAATCACCATTGCTCTCTCTAAACTCACTTTCACTGCCTTCAGACAATCCTGTATCTTCCCCAAGATTTCTAATTTTCCTTTGGAATCAGTTTATATTACATTCACATTACATGTTTAACATATTTGACCATTACTGATGAAATGGCTGGGGTAGGTGCTCATGATAACTTAAGAGAGATGTTTAAGTGAATGCTTATTTTAAGGTTCCTTATTTATTATTTTTATATTTCCTATATAATTTGGTAACCCTGGGGTCTCTGGCAACAAATACTTAGCTAAGGAGTGTCCTTAGGTGCTTTGAGGAATAGGAAAGTAAAGAATAAGGGAGGCAAAATAAATACGTGTGAATCAACCAGCCTGGGCAAGGCAACAGAAAGACTCATGGAGTTGTAGCCCAACCACTCCTTGAGATGAGGAATATGGGTGTTCAGTGTGGTGACCTCTGTTCCCAAACCATACTGTTGCTCATGCTTAATAAATACTTACCCGTGATTATAAAGCACTCTTCAGATAATAAAAAGGAAACTTTCAGTCAGAATAGTTGGGAAGGACTTTAAGGAGGCAGAATTTGAACTGGACAACAAGATAGGTTTTAGACAGAGGGAAGTTGGGGGGGAACACAGTAATCAAAGCCAAGAGCATATATCTCCCAGAAGATTCCTCACCTCTGAAGGCCATCCTGCACCTTCCTGTAAGCATTTTGTACCAATTTTCCACTACCTAAGCCTCATCTCTTGTTAGACTTTAAGGGGTCTCTTGAAAGGACCCCACTGACTTGTCAAAGTTCTAAGCATTTACATAATTTATTCATAATCACTAACTTCTGTTTAAACATTTTGCCACTGGAACAAGAAGCAAACCAATAAAAATAAATAAAATCAATAAATAAAAATGTAGTATATAAATAAAATGTAAATAAAGTTTGAGAAACATTGAAACACTCCCCACTTCTCCCTCTCTCAACTTTACAGATAAGTAAACTGAACCTCCAAAAGGTTCAATAATATGCTCAAGGTCAGCAAGAATAACAGGAAACTATTCACAGAGCTATTACCACAATCCAGAATCTCCATGCTCAGATGGGGCCTCCTACCTCCCCACCACAGTGCTTCTGAGCAGACCTTCGTATCTGCCCAGGATGTTTGAGCTGTGGTCTGTGCAGATGAACAGAGGGCTGGCTTCATGGATGGATGATCTGGGCGGTCACACAGGGCCCCAAGCTTGGCTTAATGCTCTGGTGCTGTCTTCTTGAATTCTTAACAATGTTTTAACAAGAGGCTCCATGGTTTCATTTTGCACTGGGACCTATAACTTATGTAGTCAGTCCTGCATAATATCCACGTTTCTGGAACACCAGAGGAATTTTGCAAAAGTGATGTAGTGGCCTATTGCCTTTAGACTCAGACAGCCCCAAGTTCAAATCAAAACTCTGCCATTTCCTTGTGACCTTGGGAAATTTGCTTAACTCCTCTGGGCCTCAGTTTACCCATCTGTAAAAATGCAGATAATTCTACTCGACTTGATCTGGTTGCAGTTTGGGGCTTAAACAGGAAAACAGCAGGGAAAGCAGTAAGAACTATTTCTTTCCTGCCTTTCTTTTAAAAAGCTGAAATGATTCATTGTCTCCCAGACTAGCTGTCACATGCGAAAGTACAACGTGAACCTGTTCTGACTCAGGCTGCCTTCCCAATTATCAGGCAGAAGAAAGTTCCCAGAGAACCCTTTGTAAACTTGCTGATAACACAAACTTCAAGCTGGCTCCCGAAACTGATACTCCCTGGCCTGGGAGGGTGCCACCCTGCAGCCTGAGCGGGCCAGAGAGAGAGCACTGGAGCCTGCAGCTTAAGAAGCAGCCAGCTGCTGTCTACTAACTGCTTTGGTATCATTATCTCTGAAGGCTCATAGATAAGTAAGTTTCGCCCAGAACAAAGATTCTCAACTCAGACTACACAACAGAATCACATGAGTTGCTTCTGAAACATTCTACGCCCAGGATCCACCCCCCCCCCCCCCCGCCCCCAGAGATGTTCTGATTCAATTGATCTGGTACGGCCAACCACGGTATTCTTAAAGCTTCCTTGGGTAATTCTGTTGTGTAGACAGGTTTACAATGATCTAGAACAGTGGTTCTCAAAGTAAGGTCTCAGATCTGCCACATCAGTATCACGTGGAAACTAGTGAAAAATGCAATTTCCGACCCCAGCCCAGACCTACACACAGAATCAGAATCTCTGAGGGCAGTGTAGATTTTAACAAGTCTGCCAGGTAATTCGGATGTGTGCTCAAATATGAGATCCACTGATCTAGAGAGAAGTAGAAGATAATTAGCAGGTAGGCAGATAATTTAATTGCAAAACTCCTTGTTTTTTTGATACATAAAATAAATCCATTCCACAACCCCAAATTGGCTTATAAAATCTTTAACAATCTTATAGAATATTCTCATTTCCAAACATCTGAGTCTCCAAAATGTCAGATTCTTCATCTCTCTATTCATAATATAAGTTTCCCAAGGAGAAAAGTAGAGAGATTTCTAAATGGAGCTTATTATGAAACATCCACTACTTTTTAAAAAGATTTACATAATTGGGCTGAGTCATAACTTGATAATCTTCTCACATTTTTTACCCAAACTTCTCTAAATGAATCTTAATTACAGCATTTTTGTAACAATGTTTAGCTAAGCTTTTGTCCTTCAGAAGAGCACAACTCAGCGAAAAACGAAGCAGTTAATAGACACCCAGCACTTGTTTCTTTTCCTTCCGACAAGAGAAATAACACACATAGGAAAAGTTTAATAATCCCCAATAAAATGAACACAAAGCCAGCCTTCATTTGCCTTTTCTCTTAAATGATGCAGTTTTGTAAAATACCTCAAGGAGTTGGGCAGGGTCCCAGAAACCAGCAGGGACCAGTCAGAACGCTATATGATGGTATTCTCCAAGCATGTGTCAGGTCTACTGGTCCCTGTGGGCCCTTATTGTAAATTAACCATCCGTGAGACCAGCTCACAGGTACCCTGACCCTGCAGGCCAGGCTGCTTCAGTCGTGTCTGACTCTTTGTGACTCTATGGACCATACCCCTTACTCTAGGTGTTGTCAAGATTTCATTTGGAAGTTTTTCCGTCCCTCTAAGGAAAACCAGGTGGCGCTAGTAGTAAAGAACCCACTGGCCAATACAGGAGATTATAGAAATGCGGGTTCCATCCCTGGGTTGGGAAGATCCCCTGGAGGAGGGCCCAGCAACCCTCCAGTATTCTTGCCGAGAGAATCCCACAGACAGAGGATCCTGGCAGGCTACAGTCCATAGGGTTGCAGACAGTTGGCCACAAGCGAAGCAACCTAGCAGACACACAGCTTTAGAGAACAGACAGGACGGGCAATTTGGGCAACGGACCTCATAAATCCTGGACTAAACCATCAACATCCCAAAGAGAAGACACACTTCACGGTTTTCACCTGAGCGCTTATCTGAACTCCTACTGGAAACTGACTCAAAGCAGCCGTTGTGATGAAGGGAAGAGAAGGGGGAGAAGGGGGCCATGAATTCGACCCGAGAGGGCACCAAGATAAACAAACTCCTGACGATATGTCCCGTAAGTCAGTTTGAAATTCTCCTTGTAGGAAGTGAGAAAACAACTGGCAGCTTCAACATCAAAATTATGCTCAGAAGAGCAAGAAAAATCACAGAGGCCAGGATGAGGATGGCAACAAAGCCCAGGTGATTCCAAGAGGGCGGGAGGGAACAGGCAAACCCTGTAGCCACTGGCTGCTGGTGGAGGTGCTGGGCTGGCCAGGGAGACACCTGGGGAGGAGCGGGCAGCTGAGACTGAAGGGCCAGGAGACCACGCAGTGGAAGGCCCTGGAGCAGGCGTGTGCAGTCCACCCAGAACAGACAGTGCTGTGAGTGAGTGATGGGCTTCTTTCCCTCGGCAGTACAGGCGTGAGATCATCCTAAACTTGTGCTTGCAGTTTTAGTTTGTTCGTTCTCCTTGCTGTCTAGCCTCCCACGGTATTGATACACCACAATGTATTTATCCATTCTTGTATCTGTGGGCATTCAGCATGGCAGCTGCTACGAACCTTCTTATACGTGATTTCAATGGACACACCGGGTTTGTGTTTTGGTTGGGTTTCTGCTGAGTTAGAGGTGGAACTGCTGGAGTTTTTCATGTTCTTTAAGAAGGCTGCCTTTGGTCTCATAGCCATTATACTCCTAGAACAAAGTAAGAGCCCCCAGCTCCATTTTGCAG